TTTTGTTTGGATGCATAGTTTCAAGTTCGCAAGGATGACCTGGTGCATTGTCCAAAACTAGAAGTGTTTTAAAGTCTAAATTCTGTTTTTTTAAATAAGTTTCAACTTCAGAAGCAAAACAATTCCGCAAAATTTATAGCCGCGAATATGGGAATTGGCTCGCATTTTTTTAATCCGCGAATAGTGAAACCGCGAATAAAGCAAGCGCGAATAATGAGCTCTTACTATATATACTTATCTACGTATGTCGATTAGCATAAGGAAACTAGGATAAAGAAGATTATGGAAGGATGCATTAAGTTAGTTTCAAGCTTTATAAGAACTGAGATAAATGTAAAAGATTCGGATCTTCTTGCCAGAACATTTACACTTTGCGGTTAAGTGTTAAAATATCAGGATATGCTTGCTGTTTGCCCTTTGTCCCTGCTATAAATCGATCCAGTTTCTTATATTTAATTTTATTAAATTTGGAGAGAAGCGAGTTTTGAAAACTCGTTTGGGTGGCGAAATCCTTTTCCTATCTCAGCTCGCTTAGAATTAATAATAAAAACAACACAAGGCAATTTTTTCATAGGCGTTGTCTACAATGCTGAAAATTTCGTGAAATAAATTGCCAGGAAGTAATAGTGAAGTCTTCTATCGTTCTTGGTGTTTAAACCAGTTTGCCGATTTCTTGGTGGAGCTTACCCTAAGATATGAGGAAGAATATAAAATTAAAATGCATAGCTCAGGTAAAAACAAGAAAGTTGTGATAGACATTGCTTTTTCAGAGAAAATCTTCTTTCTGATGATTTATTTTGTATTGGAAATCAAAGGGTAGGTTTGACAAGATTTAAAGGGTTTAAGAAAGCAAGATCCTATTAAGTGGTGAGCAATTTTACTCAGACTATAAAAGATGTGAAGATTAACTCGTGACAGCACTTAAAGCAAGAACAGTGAAGCGTGGATCACGAGCTACAAATTCTTTGCAAACGTCAGCAGTATCTTGAAGAAAAGACTCACCGCTCGTAGCACCATGTCTAATAGGAAACATCTTGCGTCCATCAAGCTTATTTATATAAGCAACATTTTTATTAAAGAAAGCGATGAAATAATGATAAACTTTTTCATTAGGATCAGCAAAAGTCTGGCCCTCCGTGGGCTACAGCTAAAGCTTGATGATTTTCGCGGACGGCCTTTTCACGTTCTTTTGGTGTCATCTCCTTCGAAATGCCATCGCCCAAAACTAATACTGAAGACGAAAATTATAAGAAAAAACTATAAGGTTGAACTATTAAAACACACTCTTTGTTGTTGGCTATGCAGTATATGAGAGAAATACAATAGGACTGTCTTCTGATCTATCTCGTTTTATTGAACAACTGGCAAACGTCAATCGTCTCACTGAAATATATATTGTTATGAAATTCGCTTTTGCTATGACACAGTCCGTATCACTAGATCGTGGATATTTTGATCAAGAGAAATGCACTTCAAAGTTCTTTTATTTTACTACTTTGTCTTTCACAACAGTAGGAATATTTATTTACAATTTATTTTGGCCGTACTTTCAACTTCTACGTTCTTGCCAGACTAACTCTACTTTTCACAAATATTCGATTTATATACAATTTTACAAGAATGTTACTATACCTAAATTTATGGTTGTGATCTAATCCCAGCCTGGTTTTTCCTCTAATCGTTTTCATCGGCCTGCACCTGCATGACGAGCCTGCGAATATGCACTTAGCTTTTACCTGTTTGCTTTTCCGCTATTCGTTTTCATCGGCCTGCAGCTTCATGAGGCGCCTGCGAATGCTCATTTGATTTTTCCTTCCTTAGGAAATTTATTATTACGAAAATTACTTAGCTGACATTAACTGGATTTGGGATTTTCGTAACAATATATATAAATATGCATAAAACTATCAAAGTGATTGATTTAATTTGCAATTTGGAAGTGGAACGCATTTGGCCCAATTGTGAGAATTAAAATTTTTGAATTGTAATGAATTTAACTATGACACTATTGTAAACTTGTAAAATTAGTAACTACGTCGCACAGCGCGACAAAGATGCTGAGAAACTTCCACTGTTCCTGCCAAATATAAAGTCGATAGATATCTCTATTTAACATAGATACGAGGTGATCTATTTGGCTGGTTGACAATTGCTTGCTGAACATATTTCTCTTCGCTGACCGTTGCTTTTCTCCATCTTTTCTATTCGCAGTTTCCCAAGCCACCTTGAGGTGCCGCGACAGGCACGTTACCAAATTGTTTTAAATGTCTGGTATCACCTATAGGCCTAGGCGGGGTAAAGCCCTGCCTACCAAAAGTATAATTTAATATAATAATTTAAAATACTAATTATATAAATGAATAACATAAAATATAATTTAAATGTGTGTGTGTGTGTGTGTGTGTGCGGATATCTGCAATGCAAAAATATTTCGGTTACCGAATTTTATAGAAAATGACCATGAAGTTAACATTGGCCTACAGAAATATCGCATTCTGCTGAAGCGATGAATGGAGACGTAAGCTTCTTTTTTAATCTAAAATAAAATGAACATAAATGAATAAATTAGAAATAATGATAAGTAAGGATTAACACAAACTTACCATTGGATTACAACGAATATTCCATTACCAAACACTACAGAAACTAAGCAACGATTAGCTGAATCAAAGTGTGAAAAAAGGAAATATTATCAGATTTATAACAAATATCGAAATCGAAAACTAGTGCTCTTGATATTGAAAAGAGCTAGAAAAATATAAACCAATTAGCATTCATCCCGAAACCTTTCAAATCTACCGATTTTCGTAACTGCATTCCGAGAGAAAAACCATTTACAAGCGAAATTAATATATTGACACTTTTTTGTGTTATTTTTTTGGGATTAAAGTATATCTTTGGTTTATACCTTCATATTTAGTCAAGAAAAAGCTGGAATATAGTTTTTATCTTGCAGGAAATATATTTTTTGACCCCCAAGCCCTAAGAGTAGTTTTTAATACGGGATACCTTAGTTTTTCGTACTGTACGCAGACTTTATTGGACTTTATATAAAGCACAACAGTTTTAAATTTCGCGAAAAAAAACATTAAAAAAAAAACATTTAAAAAAAAACATTAAAAAAAAACGTTAAAAAGGAAAAAATATTATATTTGCTAGTGAAAGTTTATTCCGGAATAGTTAAAAGAAGTTAGAACGGAGAGGTAAGGCTTGGTTTTATTTTACTTGAGAAGACAAAATAATTTTCAAGCTCATTTAACATTTCAAAGCAAAGCATGAGTAACATACGAATATAAAGTTTATCATACACATGGATACAAAAAACAATCCAGTCCATCCGGCAATTTTCGTCATTAAAGACATTTAAAGAAATGAAGAAAACGCATTCATATCCATCGCGCGTCACACATCACGCTTTCCAATCGCAGTAAATAAAACGGTCCCTTATGTTCATCAAATGCTTGAACAATCATATTAAAGTTATTCTAGAAGCTTCAAAGTATTCTACTTTAATATATTCCAATGTATGCACAACACTGTTAAATTACATACCCAGATGCGAAAACAATCAAAACCTTCAGTCAAGCAGTCAAAAGCAATGCGTGCATTTTTTAATCAAAACAGAGCTCACCGCACAATTAAAATGTCAGTGAACTGCCCAGAGCACTACATGATTATCCTGCTCACACTACAGTCCACATTGCACGAGTTTAGTGTAGAATGAAATTTATTGAAACATTTGCAGAAAATAAAATTTGATAATCTCCAATATGTTGTACTACCTGCTGTTTAGTGTTTTTCGTACACATATATATTTACGTGTGTACCCCAGAGAGAATGGGGCGTCATATCAAGAGACTTTAACAGAATTCTTGTCCATCCAAGTAATAAGAATGAAAGAGCAAGCAGTTGAATCGCTACTGATTAAGAGCGTTGTTGATAGCAGGGCACAAGAAGTCCGTAATAATATCCTAACTTGAACAAAATGTTGGAACATCTTATCATTCAGTTGTCCCCTGTACACAGCAGTTATTCAGCGCTTTACTATCAATAGTGATTTGGCATTCTCACTAAAAACAGATTGACGGATGAGAGATCAAACAGCCAATAGTTTATGGAATTGTATAAATAGGAAGAATGCATTTGTTCTTGTAAAATAAAAAAGGAAATATATGACCCATGAAACTATAAGGAAACCTTAAAGTTCATACATTTTAGATTGAAAATCAAACGGAGCTATAAAACTATTAAACTTGAAAAGTTTCAAAGCAAAATGATGTATGTAATGAAAAGGTAAAGCGACTTTCTTTAACTCCACTTCCGCTGATCGCTTTCGCAATAACTGTTTCTCTAACGAGTAATATATCACGGATTACTTCTCCATTATCAGATTTTCTCTTTAATCGAATCTATTCGCTTTTACTATTCATACACTGATATCTACGTTGTTTTCGAATGCAGATAACAAAGAGAAGGATCTTAACTTAAGTTCAATTCATTGCATATGCTCTTTAATAACATGCACAGCTTGGTTTCATTAGAAACACTCATTGCTGTTAGGCACGGAAGAAGAGAGCAAATATATTCTCTCATTTCACTCTTTACTAACATGTACAGCTTGGTTTCATTGAAAACACTCATTGCTGTTAGGCACAGAACAAGAGAGCAAATATTTTCTCTCATTTCACTCTTTAATAATATGGGGAGATTGGTTTCATTGCTATTAGGCATAGAAAAAGAGAGCAAACATTACTGTAAATTTACAGTACAAATACATTTTTATTCATGTATGGTGTACCTAACAGCGAACACGAAAGAAAACTATAAAAAAACCGAGTACAAGTGATAGCATCAACAGTTGTTAAGTGTTGGTTCGAGTAAACAGTCAATTGTACGTGAGTGAAAAACGCATCTATCCAAGTACTTTATTGCAGAAAGTTAAGAAAACTTGGATAATATATAAATATAATTAATGCTCAAAAAGAATTCCATTGATTAGAAAAAAAAAAAAAAGAAAATCAAATCAAATAAATTGTATAAAGGAAAAAAAAAAAAAATGAGTTTATTTCCAACAAAATTATTACGTATCATAAGTAATATGAATACCTTGACAGTTGCGTTACCATTTAGTTCAGCCAACGAAGCATCAAAAAGTGCATGCAGTTTTCAACAGTCACGAAAAAACTCGACCACAACAACGGAAACAACATGCCCTCATCTCACTTTAGATACTGCATCAGCAACCGGAACAGCGACAACAAATCCATTAAGCTCTGTCGCAGAATGGGCAATAGCTTTACCGTATAACGAAATTCCTGGTCCAAAACCTATACCTATTTTAGGTAATACGTGGAGGTACGTGTAAGAGGATTTCAACAATCATTTCAAAAGTGATTTTCTTACTAAAAATTATGGTGAAAACTTGTTGTCTTATGAGCATTGTCCTCATGAAATTCAGGTTTTTTTTTTCTTTTTGTATTTAACAAGAGTTGATTGTTGTCTTATGAAAATCGCGGCATTGTAACTGAAAACGCATCTGTAAACTTATAAAAAATTGAGTTTCTTTTATAAAACTATTCATAAAATGAAAAGAAAACATTAATGAATGTTGCGTGCGAGAAACTTTTCAAAGAAGCTAAATGTGAAATTATCCAACATTGCCTTGGAAGGCAAGAAAAAAATAAAGATGGAAAATAGTAATTAAAAATACTTTTGCTTTTCTTTACTACGAACAACAAAAACAATTGAAAGCGAAAGTTTTGCCGCGCGATTATTATTTGGAATAAAAACATAAAAAAATCTATATAATATAAGATAATTCTCTGATATAAATGAGAATTTAACAAAATTAAGAGAAGATATGTGTTTAATATTCTTGAGGATCAATAATTTTTAGCTTAGGTAATGTAAACGTAACGAGAATAATCAAAATCTCTTGTTGCAACATAACAAAGGCATAGACTGTAGAGGCGACTAAATAAATTTCAAATTTTTTGTTTTGCTGTTACCTGCAGCGTAAACGTGATAGTTTACACGAAAAGCAACAAACTGCATGCTTTTAAAAGACTTAAGCAACAAACTTGTTTTAAGAAAATCATAAACTCTAAAAATTATGTGTCTTTGTATGTTTGTAAAGATATCGAATTTTTTTTTTTTTCATTATTTTTTCAGATATTTATATTTATTTATATTAGGGGTACAAATAAATTCGGTCTGTTGAAATTGGTTGGGTTCAATTTTCCCAAAAATTCTGGCATAGCTAACAGGGTCCTTTGAAGTTTGCGAGCATTTGGACAAAAATTGTTAGTCTTCGAAACGATGAATATTCACATACGTCTGTCCGTCTTCAGCAAATGCATCACAGGAAGTGATTTTCAGACTTAAGATGAAAAGTTTAACTGCGCCCTGCGGTATTCTCCAAACATGGCCGTCTTCCGCATACCAGTTATTCAGATCGGCGCAGATCAGTGGTTCACAGACGTTGAAGATGTACAAAAATGGGTCAACGGCTATTATGCGTCCAAACTCGCAAGTTTTCACCGCAACAGCATCCATTAGCTACCCGATAAACGTCGAAAGATCATATATAATCTTGGTGCTTACTTCGATTGTAGCGAACATATTTCAAATAAAATTGAATTTCATGAAAAAACGGAAGGAATTTATTTGTACATCTGCTACATAAATACATATATAAATAAATAAATGCTTGCATAAGCAAACACATAAGTACAACTGCAGACACAAACAGAAAATTTGCTGAGAGAAGTATTTTGAAAAAAAAATAATTTCAATACAATTTTTCTCTACATAATAAGAAAAGGAATTAACATAGCGCTAGGATTTGTCATGCAAACTTACTACCCCTATTATATTCCCATTTAAGCCAAGCACTGACTCTAATTGATTTTCTTAATTCAGTTTAATAGCAAATAATCCGATCAATGTTCTGATTGCCTAACTACGAAATCAACAAATAGTGGGAACAATGTATACAAAAAAATAAAAAAACTGTGAACGCTTGAGACAATGGCGCATGTTATAGTACAAGGCCATCAATGACAAGATGGAGAATTACTTAAACGAAAAATAATTCAAACAAAACTCTACCATTTACTTAAATGATGATAACCGTAACGACTTTTCAAAATGTGTCTCCAAATTCAACTTAGCCAAGTAAAATTGGCATTCACCAATACATAATTATAATCTCTCTCTCTCTATGGTAGAGCATACTTCTGACAAAAGCGAATATACAACACTCTCTAGCTGTTATCTTTGTAAGATAAAATTTGGATAATATGTATAAGCAAAAAAAAAAAAAAAAAAAAAAGGTGCTATGTGAGAAGTGATCGAAAAAGTGGCCCGATCTGAACCATTTTTAAGAGGGTTCGTCCTTGGGCCATAACATGTCAACTTATCGGATTTCACCAAAATATCTTAAAAATTGCGAACAATGGGTTGAGCAAAAGTATATGACGGATAGACATTTCTTGAATGGATCGGTATAAAAGAAGTTAGTGTAAGGTATAAAAATTGTTATGTTAAAAATGAACAAAATGCAAAACATCGAAACCTATTCAGAAAGTAATTTTAATCTATAAAGCCATAGACTTAATTTTCTCGGTCAAATCATTTCATTAATAGTGTGAACCGATGCGATTTATTTTTCATAAGGAAAGTGATAAGGAGAGCATTATGAAATGTTTAGAATATTTCGATGAATAATTGACTGCTAATTAATCGTTAATTTGATATACTACTTAGTAAGTTCGTAGGATGACATGAAGTCACAGATATTGAAGAATTTATATGATTTTTACGAACGTACGAACAGTTAGATAAAATTTCGTGAGACATGATATAGTTTGCAGTTGTTTTAGTGACTTTACGCAGAGTTATTCAGAACAACATATATCAACTACGATTCACCGTAAAATAGTCTAAGCCATCCTATAGATAGGTATTCATGAAACGACTTTTCATAGGGAAATTATTCGAAAAAGTAATCGGATCCGAATCATTTCCAATAGCACTCGGCCGTGTGGCAAAACAGGTTGAACATAAGAAAAAAAAAAACGGACAGGTAAGATTAGATCGTCTGATACGATCGGTATAGTAAAAGATGGGCCTGTCCTATCTCCCTATGGGTGGTGCGTACATCCGCACAAACATAATACTCCCCCGCACCATGCTTTCAGACAAACTCCTCAACTCCTAGTCGAGGATGAATCGGTTTTACAGTCAAGCAAAATCCACTGGAAACTATGTTCAAGTACTTGATCGATCACATCTCTGTGAAGCTCGCTCCGAAAATACAAATTCCTTTTAGACGAGTACCTGGTCTTTGATCGACCACAAATTCTTAAAAAAGCTTCCATAATCAATTATAAATGAACTGTTTAAATCGTATCGAATGAAACCTCTCTCACATCCAACTTTCTTCGTAACTATATATCGATCGCTAATCTGCTTTGAAACCAATCAAAGCTAATTAGAATTGAAATTCTGTTCAATTGTGCGCCTAATAGCCAACCACAAGTCTACCTCAGAGCTATTAATTTTTTACTAAGCGAAAATACATGAAGTTGGGTAAAATATTTTCGAGCCTGAACTCACTAACTTACGAACAAAATTTTATATGAGGCAGCATGTCAATGTTCCTTTAAGAAAACATAACTTGAAAATTTGAAATCTGACAGACGGACAGGCACGAACTATTTTTGTAATTAATGAATGAGTCTCGCCAAAGGTCTTCCGGACGACGAATATCTCTGAAGATTTTTTTAATGTTGCCTACGAACTTGTAGATAAGCAGAATAGAGAACAATGAGGAAAAGTTTTCTAAAAATGAACTCTTTCACAGGAAACTATATTTTTGCACCCTACACAACTTGTGATGCAAGGCTATATTAAATTTCTACGGATGTATACAACGCCCAGATGCACTTCAAGCAGAATTGTGGCGATCGATTCAGAATCACTTTCTGCATCATCTTAAGCTTGTCTGTCCATCTGTCCGTCTTGGTTTTTTGCATTCAATCTGCCAAAACGTCTATTTGAGAATTTTCGACGAAGTTGGGTATACAGACGGGTCGTGGCCCAAGGGCCAAGGGAACAGTATTGAAAATGATTCGAATCGGCCCACACCCCACATAAAACTTTATCCTGAAAAGTCTTCGTACAAATAACTGTTTTAAAGCAAAATGGTGTAGGGTCTCTAACGGTGGACCATGCCACACTATAGTGTTTTTGCTTGTTTGTTTACTATAGGAAGAGGCTTTCACTGAAATGCAAAATTATTGTTCGGTATTGCTGACGACTAACCTAATATTATGAACATGTATGACACACAAAAGTGTAAAATCGCGAATTTTCGCTTTCACTCTACTTCCTCTAATGTATCGATTTCGATTAATAATATTAAATATTCGAGCTTTTGTTTGTTGCGTTGTACGTATGTGTGTTAATTGCTTTTCTATAATTGTATTACATATGCTTGCGTTCATATAAATATTACATAAATGAATAAAAGACAATATTTATGCGAAGCATGTCCAAATCGCTCGTCACCATACAATAAATAAATATTCCATAAAAATTTCACGTTTTATAGGTTTTTTTTTTTTATTGTGTTTATATTTTAAATTTTTTAATTACCTCCAATAACATATAACAACAAGCGTACCGGCTATTTTAACATCGAACTCCACCAGACGTTTGTATTAAGTAAACGCAGATGGATAACGATAGGAGTTAAATATATACGTCTTTTAACGATTTGTTTACATTTTAACAAATGCAATAAACCAAACACATAGATGACTAAGTCATGCTTGTCACTTAGTTAATCAGAAAAATAAAGAAAAAACACACCAAAATGAATATAAAAAGAGCAAATTATATATAAGATAAACTTGGTAGAAAGATCGTCTAACTAATTGCCTCCACCTTCAAAGGTGTTAAAAATAATTGACAGATAATATAATCTTAGATGCTAGTGCTCAGCCTAATTTAGTCCTAGCATTTATTTTTTTTGGCCCCAATAAATTCTCATAATAGTAATGATAGTAATAAACAAAACTAGCGGCCGGATTCTGATCAGCATTGTAGACACATCAGGATATATTCATTTCGTGTAGATATTCGTAACAGCCAGAAGGGCTTAAGAAATTGATCTAAAGCTGTCTGTCCGTCTGACCGTCGGCCCTTGTAAATTTGTATTCAAGCTACAGGTTGTAATATTTGAGATATTTTCATTTTGTCCCACAGACGAACGCCTATGAAAATGATTCGGATCGGTCCACTTTTTCGATCACTCCCCGTATAATGTCCTATTTTGAAAAATCGTTATTATCGTTATTAAAAATTGCAAATTTTCAAAATTTCTCAGTAAAAGTCGCTAAATAGTAATATTTCGGCATTCTAAATTGGTATATACTCTTTGGACAAGCTTGGGGCAATTTTTTAACTTCCTCTCATGTAACGAAAACTGAAACTCATACGACAAAAAGCTTCAATGCTTCATAATGAAAATTATATCGCAATAAAATAAAAAGTTAACAGTACCCAATTTGCACCATCTCGACCTATTTTTTGGATTCTGCCTTAATAAGGATTTGCACGAAAATTGATCCTTTGTAGAGCAGAAAAGTCCAAGTTTTAATATGTGGTGATGAAAATTGATGCATAATAGTAATTTCATAAAAAAATAAAAAATTGTGTTAGACAATGATGTGCAGGGTATTTAGTGATTGACCTTGACCGACTATGATGTTCTTACTTGTTTTTAGGATAAGTCTGATAGGTATAAAAGATTCGGTCGCTACCGAATATAATTTTTTTACTTATTTTGAAAACACAGGTTGTATCAGTTTATATAGCAACGCGATCGCGCACTTTTACCAAATTGCTTCATTTTCAATACCAACCTGCATGCAAGAGTTTCCATTTATTATGCTAAATTTGAAGCCGATTGCTACATTTTTGCGACGAGGACGGATGGATACGTAGATATCGGTTGAGAATTTCTCGCTGATCAAAAGCATATATACACAAGAGGGGGTCTCTGAAGCTTCCTTCCTTGGGTGTTGCAACCGTTTTGACAAAATGCATATTCGCCTGTGAGCATAACATTATTTTCTCCAAAATAATTATGAATTTACCGTTCATAGGCCACTTTGTCCCAAAGCTGCGTGCATAATAACTTCTTTATATGGTTTGCAATTGAAATGAGAATTTTTAGAAATTTTCTACAAAACATTACCATTACGACGACTTTTTAAAATATTTTTCTTTAAAATTTTATATTAATAATAATATACTTTTCTTACTGTACCTTACCTTACCTTACGAGAACTTTTTAAAATATTTCTCTAAACAATTTGATACCAATAATAGTATATTTCCCTAATTGCTTAAATGTAGGTTGATGCCAATTATTGGTCAATATACTATAAGTGATGTAGCCAGAATTTCCTTCGAACTGCATCGGCAATATGGAAGAATTGTACGTTTTAGTGGCTTAATTGGAAGACCGGATTTATTATTCATATTTGATGCCGATGAAATTGAAAATGTAAAGAAATTTAAATTTCAATCTCAATACATTTTTAATTGAACAATCATAGTGTTACCGCAATGAGGGGCCTACTCCGTTTCGACCGTCAATGCCGAGTTTGGTGAAATATAAAAGCGTTGTACGTAAGGATTTCTTTGGCGATTTGGGTGGAGTGGTGGGAGTGTAAGTTGGATTAATTTCAGAAAATACATATTAAGGACGATTTGTAAACATTATTGTAGACATGGAGAAGCTTGGCGAGAATTTCGTTCGAAGGTGCAAAGACCCATTTTACAATTATCTACAATAAGGCGTTATTTACAGCCTTTAGAAGTGATAACCGAAGACTTTTTAAAACGTTGTGTAGTTCTATTGGACGAGAACAATGAGTTGCCTGAAGATTTTGATAATGAAATACATAAGTGGTCATTGGAATGTATATTTAATATAAAAAAAATTACCAAACTAATCACAACATCTTAATCATCATGATTTACTATTTGCAGGCATTGGTCGAGTCGCTTTGGATACACGTTTAGGCTGTTTATCTCCGAATTTACCTCCGGACTCTGAACCACAACAGATTATTGACGCCGCTAAATTCGCTTTACGTAATGTGGCCACTTTGGAATTAAAGGCGCCATATTGGCGTTACTTTCCAACGCCCATGTGGACTCGATACGTTAAGAATATGAATTACTTCGTCGAGTAAGTTATCTACGAAAAATTTGCATCACTTTTAAATGATCTGATTAAGCGAGGGTTACTTTTTGAAGAATTTGTCTAAAATATATAAAGAATACCACGGTGCGTTTGAAAACTGAAGGTCCAAGTAAAAATGGAGAAACATCTCTTTTGGAGAAAGTAATAGTAACGCAAGGAAACGAAAAGATAGCTACCATTATGGCTTTAGATTTGATTTTGGTTGGCATTGATACGGTCAGAGAAAAAGTGAACAAAATCAGTACAAAAATATTTAATAGATCGTTTCTTTTATAGATATCCATGGCTGTTTGTTCTATACTCTATCAATTAGCTACACGTCCCGAAGAGCAACATAAAATACATAAAGAATTAAAACGGTTATTGCCAGAACCCTTTACTCCGTTAACAATAAATTTATTAGATCAAATGCATTATCTAAAAGGTTTCATTAAGGAAGTTCTCCGCATGTATAGCACAGTAATAGGTAATGGTCGTACCTTACAGCAGGATACTGTCATATGTGGTTATCGTGTCCCGAAGGGTGTAAGGATAAATGAACCTTAGAAAGAAAGATTTATTTGTTCTTTGTTTTAATGCTTGTCTTTTGTAGGTCCAAGCTGTGTTTCCTACCTTGGTGACCGGTAATATGGAGCAGTATGTCACCGAAGCTCATATATTTCGACCCGAGAGATGGCTTAAGCCTCATCAAGGCGGGTTTGAAGGCAATCTACATCCTTTCGCCTCTCTGCCATACGGCTATGGAGCGCGTATGTGCCTCGGACGTCGCCTAGCCGATTTAGAGATGCAAATATTATTGGCTAAGCTTTTACGAAATTATAAATTGGAATATAACTATCCCGCCTTGGATTATTCGGTCACATTTATGTATGCTCCCGACGGACCACTAAAGTTTAAAATGACAAGAATTTAAATTTAAATAGTTTATGTCCATAAATAAACTTTGTTCATTTTATTTCCTTTTCCAGGCTTTATACCAATTTTTGATGGCCTTTAAATTTTCTTCCGCTTCTTGTTTTGTTTCATTTGTCAATTGATAAACAATATCGGATTTATAGGAATTTTTTGCCTCTTCCAAAACAATCCCAAATATCTCACATTCAATGTTTGATTTCAACTTCTTATCGTTATAGTTCCGCTCTTTGAGACGGTCAAAAAAAAGTGCGGTATTAGAGCAAGTCGTCACAAAAACTGCCTCAAACCATCTTTCCGGAAAGAAATCACAACCATGATATTCCACAATATTACCGCCTTGCTGCATTAAGGGTTCTAAATAGTCCATTAACTGTAAATGCATTAGTTAGTTCTCTAGAAGATACAATATATACCAAAAATGTACTTTATCTTCATCTAGAATGGGGCAGTCGTATTCTTCGTCATATTCCTCAATCAGGTTGTGCTTTTTAGCCAGTTCGGAGCAATTTAACCAACGTAATTTTAGCTGTTCAGCTAAACGTTCGCATAAATAACTTTTTCCAGTAGCCGGAGTACCTATTATAATAGATAAAAGGTTCTTAACTTTTGTAGATAAGATTCTAAATTTTTACACACCAGTGATAAGAATATTTGGAACACACTCCTCTTCTTCAGTTTTTGTAGACATTGTCTTGGTGTTTTCTTTTTTTTTCAGATATTTGCAAAAAAATTCTACAAATCCGTGCCGCTTTTAGATACTAAAATAATTATCTCAAAGAATTAACACAGAGATGTATGTTTAAATGTTAAGCAAAACATCTGGTTTCGTATTAGTTGTTTTCTGCGACTTAATGTAACGCAATGCAATTGTTCGTAAGCATTAAATTAAACTCTTTAATACTTATCATTATAAGAGAACATGTCTCTTTTCATATCATCATTACCTCGTTAGATGCATTCAAATAAACGTAAAAGAAGTCATATTCCTTCAAATTCTTAAGCAACTAGTTTTTTGTGGACATTTGAAAAAATTAAGGAAATGTTTTTTTTTCCGTTCAAAACTATTCAATCTTATTTTAAACATAGCCCTTAACCTATCGCATGGATAGCTGGATTTAGTTTCATATAAACCGATGAAAAGTAACCCTGTATTTGTTTAGAATTGAGAATAATTCTTTTGCAATAATCAAGAATATATGTAACTTATGTAATCTGCTTTACTAAACGCACTTATTACACACATATTATTACCAAATTTAGTATTTGTTACGTTATTCATAAGCACCTAAAAAATTTTCTTATTGGTTGGTTATAACATTATCCAACACATGCATAAAACTGTTAGGCTGTAATAGGAAGAGCAATAAAATTAATTTAACTTTAAAAAAAAACTTTTTCTTCTGTTTATTTGCATTTTCATGCGTGATTTTAGTAAACGTCATTATTAGTACACAAGACAATTCTCTTGTATTCCTTTCCATTCGTTTGAACATTTTTGTACGCTTGGCAACTCTGTACGCATTTGCTGATTTAAAACACCTAACGGTACTCGGTTTTTCTTTGTTATGCTTAGGTTTCTAGAGGATGCATTTGTAGTACTGAAAAATGCCCTAATACATCTTCACATAAGAATACCGAGAGTAACAAGAACAATATCTAAGTAAATTATATCGCTCTACTTGGGGGGATCGGCCAATGAGAAACTAAAATCAGTAGCAGCAACAATTAAATAAGAGCGGTAGCATTCGATTTTTAAATATCAAGCTGGTTGGTAGCAAATAAAATGGAAGACATAGAAAATTCTTCCTTAAATTCGCAAGAAAATCAAAATTATGATAATGCGAGCCTCCCAAAAACGATTACCGATATAAATCAAGGAATATCTGCTGCCGCAACACTCAGCAATTTTAATGAAAATGCTGATATAACGAACGAGAACGAACATTTTAATTGCAATATGGATCAATCTAGACATTATCATATTCCTTACATACTAAACGGGGAATTGTACCAGATACAAACACAAGAAGGTGAGAATGTGACAGTGAAATGTTGCAATTGCCCACCGGACCGTGTTTATCGTGGTAGTGTTAGATCTACCGGAAATTTTCATATGCATATTAAGGTAAGTGTAAAATGTATATATAATAAATCTCGAAGCTCAAAGTTACAGTTTTCAAATCTTGACAAAATGCAGCGTCGACATCCAGATTTGCTGGGCAAATTGCATAATATGAAGGTGAATGCTCTGTTGGAGCGACGTGATCGTTTAATGCGAAATAAAAAATTTAGTAATCATCGTTCTCATCGCAATCTAGCCACATCTACTCCCGTCAGAGTTTTTAAAACTGAACCTATTTCGCAAAACCAAACAGACATTCAATTTATGCCAGAAGTTAATCGTATAAATTCCTCACCCGAATTGAGTTTAATGCATACACATAAATTAAAAATTAAGACCGTTTTCCGGCGTCATCAGCTTGAATCGAATGAAATGCGCCAGGAGGTAAGATGTTAAGAATTTATAAAACTTGTTAACCTAATATCTAAAGAGATGGAATGCATGTGTATACTTAATTCAATCCAAGCCCTTTCTCTCTATCTGTATATATATATTCTCCGCATGTGAATATCTATGACATAATATTTAGGTCTCTAATTTTCTTTTATCCCTTCATATGTAACTGTAGAATAAATCTTTAGCATCTCATCAGCATGTCGAATATCATTCGAAACGAGAGAAAAACTGATTTATTAACTTTAGCAATTGTCTGTGATGAATTTCGAACCCGTATATACAAAATTTCGTTTTTGTTTTGTCTTATTTATCTTAACTGATAAATATCTAATACTAACACAATTTTTGCTCTTTGGTTGCGTTGCTGCTCTAGCGTGTATGCTTTCGTACCGTTATTAAAAAAATCTAAAAATGTTCGTAATCTAAAGTATTTACGCTGGTAAAACATGATCTTCTTCTTTTTTTTTTGTTTTCTCTCTTCTCCTCTCTCCCTCTCTCGTTTGGTACGGTAATATTTAACAAATGGAATAATATGAAGGCATCAAATAATGAAAGCTGCGAAGAGGTACCATTGGATTACAGCTTTAAAACAGGAAATCAAAATGTCACCTCAGAGGAGCAACAGCAAAAGGTAGGGATATAATTAATACACACGAACAAACAGACAGATAATCATATTTTAAATTGTAGCCTACGCAACTGTTATCTACAAGCGCGCAAAATATCACGGAGTTGTCAACGATGCAGCAATCTATTAACGGCGATAATACTCTTTCATATCAAAACGCAAATGAGGCAACAATATCTCCTGCAATCAGCTTGCGTAATAGCTACGGTTACAACTTTGCTGACGATGCTGGCACTGTCAATGAACGCAACTATCACAATTTATCGAACGTAAAACCTGAAAATTTTTCAACAACCGAAGAAGCAATTAATGTTGCTAACCTCACACAAACCACTTCTACAGAGAGTTTTAATTCGATGCAAGGAGATGCAAGGAACTCCGGCCCTGACACTGGCAACCGAGATAGCAATTATTGGTCCGATGTCATATTACGAATTGAAAAATATTTGGAGCTAATACAAAGCGAATTGAATGTTCGCAATCAAATCGAAACGGATCGTATGTATTTGGAAATTGCAAAATTTAAATATCTGCATCCAAACTTCCATTACAATTGGTAAAAATTTAAGCGGATATACAAGTTCTTTTTTCGATTGAGTGAGTTATACGATTTATTATGAAAGATATATGTTTAAGTAATAACGTGAAAATGTACTTTTGCGAGCTTAAAGATGAATATGAATAATTCGAATGATTTGCTGTAAATATCATTCAACATAGAATCCTAAGATCATGATTTAATAGAACAAGATTCATAAATATACGAGAATCATTTGTATCAAGCTAGTTAAGCCTTACAATTATTAGTATTAAACGACAACTAAGTGAAATACAGTTTTTTTTCTTTTCTCAAATCATTTCTTGAGTTTAATTTTCCTCTACTTTTGAATTTGTCAATTTGTTTTAATGCGATGAATATCTCAAATTATCAGCACTTTTCTCCAGCGTCAAATAAGCAATTTGCATTGCCAATTGCTGCTTGTATTGCTGCTCTTACTCTCATGGATGTTTCTCATGTGCGTTTTGAAGCCAGCCAAATGACGATAAGAAAATAGGGAATTCGAATATCGATGATAACGTTCTTAATAGAAGTAAGCCGTTCTATCTTTGCCAGGTTCAAAGATTGTAACGCCTTTTACGTTTTGTATTCTACACCACTTGTGCTACAAGGAGTAAGTATGTGCGGACCGATGTTAAACGCAGAAGGGCTTTAGGTGGACGTTATATGATACCGCCCGATTCGTAATCATTTCTGGATCATTTTCTATATCGATCTAAGCCTATCTGCCCGTCTAATATCTGTCCATGCAAATTTGTATTCAAGCTACAGATCGTAGTTTTTGAGATATTTTGATTAAATTTGGTACAGTGACGGGCTTTGACCCTAAGGACGAACTTTCTTGAAAATGGTTCGAATCGGTTCGCCTTTGCGATCACTCCCCATATAATGCCTGGCAAAAGCCAGTGCAAGATTTACTCTGCTTAGCTAGAGTAGTAATCGAAGATCTTACGAATAATAATATAAGTCTAAGCATATATTGAAAACCACCTCAGGATTTACTTGCGATGGTTTACCAGAATCCTTACAACTGATCTTATATTCAATATAATGGTAAACCCAAGTCCGATTACTTATTATTATGGAATTAACATAAGCGGATTCAATATTTGTTTCTTCCGGTAACCCTTGGTAAAGACTTCGTGACGGGCTGACATTAAACCAAAGCCTAAATAGGAATGAATAAACTTATTAATTTCTTTATTCAAACTAATTTTCACTTCGTGCATATATTTTTCAGCCCTACAGCGCAGCCTACAATGAATGCGAAATCATTTTTACAAAGGCAAAAAAAAAAACAAAAAAGCAAAAGT